AGATATTTTTTTATTTTAGGGGGTGGGGGTGGGGGGTGCAATCCCTTGGGGGGTGGGACTCTATCCTGGGGAAAGGAGTCGCTATCCTGGGGGAAGGGGTAGCTATCCTGGGGGGAAGGGGTCGCTATCACGTGGGAAGGGGTCGCTATCACGTGGGAAGGGGTCGCTATCACGTGGGAAGGGGTCGCTATCCCATGGGCAGGGGTCGCTATCACGTGGGAAGGGGGTCGCTATCCCGTGTGGAAAGGAGTCGCCATCTGTGGGGGGAAGGGGGGTCGCAAAATGAATTACACATTTCTATAAAAGGATCTCGTAATGGGAGTTATCTGAGCGTGGTTACCATGGGGAATGAAGCAAACACAAGCCCCGAGACAACGTGTCTGCCTGACCATCTATAATTCAAAGCCGAGCCAAAGTTTTCACGCGCGAATCAGGGGGTGGGGGCGAAATCGCTCGCTTGGCAGAGCCGGTTAACATGAACTGGTCAAATCCAACATATTGATCTCCTGGTGGCCTATAAGAGATGGTCAAATCTAATTTTATAGATCTACCATCGGACTCTTAGAGATGGTCAACTCAAACGCATTGATCTACCAACGGAATGTGAGCGATGGTCAAATCAAACTTATTGATCCACCGGCAAACCCTTAAAAAAAAAATATTCAAACTAACGTATTGATCAACCGGCGGAATCTGAGAGATGGTCAAATCAAACTAATTCATCACCCGACGGCCTCTAAAAGATAGTCAAATAGAACTAGGTGATTTCCTGGCAGACTCTGCAAGAGAACGCTGGTGTTAAAACGATTAGACTAACCAGCGTCTGCTCTTGCTGACGTAGCTGTGGTGATGTCCGCCCCTCCAGCCAATACCATAATTCCACTCTCGGCAATGCTCGGCGCGCCCATTTTGGAAAAAAAATCAGGTATTCGGCAGTGGCTGACGTCACTCTTCAGCCAGATTTTTCCGTCAGTAACGTTTATCCGAAGATTTTACCATCAGCCAGATTTTCCGTCAGTAAGATTTTTCCGTAGATTTTTCCGTCAGTAAGATTTTTCCGACAGCCAGATTTTTCAGTCCGTGAGATTTTTCCAAAGATTTTTCCGTCAACCTGATTTTTCCGCCAGTCAGATTTTTTCCTCAGTATTTTACACAAAGTGTAGGAAAGCCAGCTCAAAATGTTTGATGTCTTATTAAAGAACTTAGTAATAATAATACAATGAATTATACATTGTTGCAGTATAATTACCCAAGAGGACGCCATTAAGGAAGAATTTCATGTTCAACTTAGACTTTGTTTCGAACCAAGACTATATCATTAAAAGTAATGGAAGTTGGTTTGGACAGAAAAGTAGTGGGCCATCATTTCAATTTCTACATCATTCCACTATTTTATTTGTCCTAGTTCCCTTCATTATTTCCTCTCTCCATTACCGCCACCCCTTTCCATCTCATTATCTCGCGTCAATAAAGTTTATACTGTGCTAATGTCTCCAACTGTAAACCTCTTGACATGCCGAATTTATGACGAAGCAATATATATATATATATATATATATATATATATATATATATATATATATATATTAAATAGGGGCATATTTGTATCAAAACACTTCTGCATTGATGTAAAATCCATTCTTTTAAAACGGAAGCGATGTCTGCATTTAATTTTTAAAAAAAAAATAATTATTTTGGCCTGCGTTTCGAATTCAATAACCATGATTTAATATTTTGTTAATCAAGTTTTTATCCAATAATGACCGTTCAAAATCCCCCCCCCCCCCAAAAGTTTTATTTTTTTATTTAGGCATTTTTATATAGCGCTTATCATAAAGCTCTAAGCGCTTTACAATTATTAAAAACATGTAAACTAAGTAAAATAAAAATGAGACATTAGGATAGTAACTACTATACTTTAGAAACAATTATAATGGCTATAAAAACGAGGACACTTTGACACGTTTTGGCCTATATTACAGGATTAGCCCGAGACAGAACATGAGGCAGGGCAAGGAGGGTGCATCACAGGTCATTAGGCGGACCTAAACAGATGGGTTTTAAGGGACTTTTTGAAAGTGGACGAAATTTCACAATGACGGATATGGAAGGGGGAGCTGGTTCCAAAACGTGGGCCCATGGAAGTAGAAGGAGCGTTCATGTGACACACCGCTAAGCATAGATATAAACATTTGAATAAGATACACTTAGACATACACCACCCCCCTTATTACTCCGACAGAAAGTTGTTCAAATAAAAAAAACACTGTGCAGTTGCGGAGGAATTTCATCTGGCGACGAAGACGAAGTCAAGCTTGCCACAGTGACGAAGACAGCCAAGCTTGCCACAGTGACGAAGACAGTCAAGCTTGCCAACAGTGACGAAGACAGTCAAGCTTGCCACAGTGACGAAGACAGTCAAGCTTGCCAACAGTGCTGCCCCCAGGTCTCCGAAGAAGACAATCAAGCTTGCCAACAGTGACGAAGACAGTCAAGCTTGCCAACAGTGCTGCCCCCAGGTCTCCGACGAAGACAGTCAAGCTTGCCAACAGTCACGAAGACATGAAGACAGTCAAGCTTGCGACAGTGACGAAGACAGTCAAGCTGGCCAACAGCGCCGCCCCCAGGTCTCCGAAGAAGACAATCAAGCTTGCCAACAGTGACGAAGACAGTCAAGCTTGCCAACAGTGCTGCCCCCAGGTCTCCGACGAAGACAGTCAAGCTTGCCAACAGTGACGAAGACAGTCAAGCTTGCCAACAGTGCTGCCCCCAGGTCTCCGACGAAGACAGTCAAGCTTGCCAACAGTGACGAAGACGAAGTCAAGCTTGCCAACAGTGCTGCCCCCAGGTCTGCTCGGGAGGAAACTAAATTGTAACCAACTCCACGGACTCGGCTTTAACTCGGGAGTGGTTCTAGAGTTTTGGACTGAACTCTCAACCCGGCCTGCAGAGAAAACGTCCAATATCCACGGTGAAAACTCGCTGGTCTTTTAATGCTCTGAGCAGATCATTAACACAGAAAAACCCAACAAGATGTAATCAAATGGATTGCTTTTTTTGCTTCAATTTGCGCAAATAGTTCAGATTGTTTTCAATGAAACAATCTTTAGTTTGCTTAAAACAGCTTGAATAAATTATAATAGTGCAAGAATTTCCGTTTTTGCGTTAGTGTTCACGCAGATATTGTTCTATTTTCTTACATTTTTATTTACACTTTTATGTAGCCTTTAACTTGATACCCAAACAGCGAATGCATGATATTTTGTCAGCACGTGGTGCTTTTCTAACTAAAAAAAAATGTCTTAACATTATTAAAATATTTTTTGGATGCTTGTTTCCGTACTCGAAAACCTAAAGATTTATTGGCCTCGTGACAATCTCCTATTCATAGCCCCCGTGACACTGCTCCTATTCATAGCCCCCGTGACACTGCTCCTATTCTGAGCCCCCGTGACACTGCTCCTATTCATAGCCCCCGTGACACTGCTCCTATTCATAGCCCCCGTGACACTGCTCCTATTCATAGCCCCCGTGACACTGCTCCTATTCATAGCCCCCGTGACACTGCTCCTATTCATAGCCCCCGTGACACTGCTCCTATTCATAGCCCCCGTGACACTGCTCCTATTCATAGCCCCCGTGACACTGCTCCTATTCATAGCCCCCGTGACACTGCTCCTATTCATAGCCCCCGTGACACTGCTCCTATTCATAGCCCCCGTGACACTGCTCCTATTCATAGCCCCCGTGACACTGCTCCTATTCATAGCCCCCGTGACACTGCTCCTATTCATAGCCCCCGTGACACTGCTCCTATTCATAGCCCCCGTGACACTGCTCCTATTCATAGCCCCCGTGACACTGCTCCTATTCATAGCCCCCGTGACACTGCTCCTATTCATAGCCCCCGTGACACTGCTCCTATTCATAGCCCCCGTGACACTGCTCCTATTCATAGCCCCCGTGACACTGCTCCTATTCATAGCCCCCGTGACACTGCTCCTATTCATAGCCCCCGTGACACTGCTCCTATTCATAGCCCCCGTGACACTGCTCCTATTCATAGCCCCCGTGACACTGCTCCTATTCATAGCCCCCGTGACACTGCTCCTATTCATAGCCCCCGTGACACTGCTCCTATTCATAGCCCCCGTGACACTGCTCCTATTCATAGCCCCC